GAGCTCATTTAATATTTTAGATGAAATTTCCACAGTTTTTTTTTTTAGCTCTGCCATATAAAAAGCAATTCAGATTTGACCACTATCAAGTTAGAATTCAGCAAGTTTGTACTGATCACAAGACTCATCTTTTAGTAAAAACATTTGAAGGAAATGCACTTTTTAGCTTAAATGGGAAGTCCATGCATTCAGAAAACTAAACAGGCAGTTGGCTAACATTAAGATGACAAGAATTTTCAATGAAGTCCGTACACCAGACAGTTTTCAACACTCACGGCATCTGTCTGCGTGCTGGAGCAAAACACCCACTATCGATATGCTTTTCTCAGGTATAGTCTTAAGATGTCCCTTAGAGCACACTCCTTACACTTCAGGAGGTTTAGCTCTCAAAGACATTTGTTTGGCTTTTTGAACATTGATGAAATATCCAACATTGATGATTACATATTTATTTCTTCCTATGAACCCCTACCTGACAACTGAGTACACTATGATTATTATTATTACACTTAATCTTATTAATAATGTTTAGCTAACTGGACATATGCAGGTCACTGTATTAAGTAGGACTTTTACAGCTTACATTAGGTGGAAATTCTGTAAAGAAACTTACTCTACCACTTCTCTTACGAGCAGCTGACACCAGTGTATTTCTTGGACATAATTACTTCAGCTCTCGGGGGTGAGATCAGTGAGCAACTAATGAAAGATTCCTGTAATAAATGGCCAGGATAAGACAGTGACTACACAAAGGAGACCAAATTGCACCTGTGGGAAATACTGCACCTTGTCTAGATCCTGGATGAGAACAGACTCCTCTTTATCACTGACTTTAATGCATCTGCCTGAAAAACTCAGGAATGTTATTTTAAGTCAGTTATGTTAATTTTGGCTTACAAGCATACTTAACTGTTCTCACACTTTCTTTTGCAGAGACTGGAGTAGCTTTGGGCTGTGAGGGCATGCCTCACATCTTAACTGTCTGCCTGATGGCACCATGCACTAGCCCCTGCTCCTAAACCCACACTGAGCTAAGGGTGCCTTTATGAAAGTTCTTCCTTGAGGAATTTAGTGAGAAACTGCCTTGCTGTTCTCTCATCTTGGTGCCTGTACTTGCAAACTAAGATTATACTTAGGACAAGTTGAGAAGGTTTATTGCATGCATTTAATGGAAAGGTGATTCAGAGCTGATTTTAATGACAGCCATTTGTGTCACGGCTTCAAATGCCTCTCACAAAGTCCTCGCACAGAAAAACAAAACAGAACACCCAAACAAACAAAACAAGCCATTGAAAAGGAAAGAGGAAGGCAACAGACGATGTCCATCTCTGTGAGTCTGAGGCAGCACCTATGCTAGGTCTTCCTTTAAAGTGGTTATAGATAAAGCGGTAACTAGAATAAAGAATGAATAAAACTGGCTGAGCTATGCCAGCACCTAATGACTGGAATCTGTGACTGAAGTTACCATTTCTAAGGGGAAATCTCACTGATATTAAAGGTACAGAAGTATTAAAGGTACCATCTTGGATAATAGTAAGCATAGGCTCCAGTAGTAACCATTGCACTCGTTAAAGGGAAAAAAGCTAGCTTTATTGAAAAGACTATCAGAAAACATCTGTTGGCTGTATCAAATATAATAAATTTAGGGTCTATACAACAAAAAACACATTCTGCAATGCTGAAAAACATCAAAATAGCACCTAAGTTTCCAAAATATTTCCCAGTGCTATGCTGCTTCTCACCAGTTAAGCAATATAAATTATCAGATGAAAGTATAATGTTCATTAAAGCAGAAGTATGAGCAGATACTGATCAACCGGAAACTCATTTTTCTTAGGTAAAAGTAGATATTAGCTTCTTCTGAAAGTGTTTCCTATATCACACTATTCTTAGCATTCTCTCTATTCAGGACGGAATTTACTGCGATGCACTTAACACCTCACAGTGAGAAGTGCTCGGTTTGTCATACAACATACCTGCTTGTCTGGCGGGACGGCCTCAGCCGCGTGTCAGGGCACCACCATGGAGACGGGGGCACTTTCATTTTACTCTTGTCGTCTAATAAATACTACAGGATCTGATGGCAACACCCTACTTGGTTGGCCATCTGCTTGATATTGAAACCAGCACAATAAATGAATTACCAATAGGGTAATGGACCAATATATATAATTACAGATGTTAATATTCAAAACTGTACTATTGATCAAAATAGATGTTATCATGAATATACTTAGCTAGGTATATGATCAGCCCTAACACTGTACTATATCAAAGAATGGGAAAGATTTAATGAATTTATATGTAATCATAAGGCAAGTGGCTCTTGATGCACTTGAAAATTATTCTTATCCTCAGTCGCTTTCCATTAATTTGTCACTACTCTGAACTTTTTATCTCTATGAGTCCATATAAAAATCAATAGGAATTTTGTCACTTGAAAACTGGGGATACTGATTCCTTTACATTTTTATATTCACTGCACCAAAACAGGTCACTGTGAAATTAGCATCTTAACTTCTTCTTCTTTTTTTTTTTTTTTGAATAGAAAACCTCAGCAGTACTCCTTGCTTAGCTTCTTTCATGGTCTTACTGAAGCAACTGCATTTCACCTCACAGCAGTAACTTGGCCTGCTCATTGTAAGTTTTCAGAGCCAGAAAGCAGGACTTTGGCTATCATACTTTTGTCTGTGTATAACATGAACATTGCAGTGCATTACTTGTATCAATAGAAATGTATATATCACATCAACAGGCTACCTTCTCAAAACAGAGACTGAGGATGTGGTTTTCCAGATAATTTATTTTAGAAAGAGAATCGTATGAGTGCTTTATGACTTACTGCCAAGCATATTAGATACTTGTATTTGAATCCAGATGAACTTTCAGTACTTAACTGAATTTGGTAAGCATAAGTACATGAAATCCAATACTGATAATAATTTATGAAGGTAAGAATACTGATTCCTATAATATTGCTAACTTAGTTTATGATAACATAATTAGTTACACTAATAACACTGCTTAGGCACAGTCTTGCTAATTATGATATTATAAATATTAATGATATCAAGCCTTTGTATTTGATTGCCTCTCGTAGAGTCATTTATCACAGTATTTGCTTTTACCCATGTTGTATTACTTTTTTTTCCTTTTCCTTTTATGTTTATTCTTGGACACTTGGTTGTCCTGAGCTTCAGCCTAAAACATATCACTACCTTAACAATGGTGCAGCCTGGTTAATTTCATATTTTATCATCTGGTAGCAATGACTCAATGATACAATTCCATGTTAAGGGCAATCAAGTGCACAATCAGTTATATTCTGTATGTCTCGTTCCTTCTAAATATCTAACAGAGCCAGCCAGACTATATTACACAGGGCTTTGTTTTTCATGTGACCGGTTTCAAGATAAGATTCCTTTGAATTATTAAATGCTTCCTTAAAGCATCTTTTCACACTACCTTTTTAAAGTTAATTATTGATGTAGTGACAAGGCGAAAAGATTAAGAGTTTTTTTTTTCTCATTCAAAGAACATGAGAAACATGTTACAGTGGTTGTCTGTTTAGCAAAATACAAATGTAATACAAAGACAGAACACTGAATGCAGCTTTAAGGAAGAAGTGCTAAAAACATCTGTTACGTGAGCTGTAAATGCCATGTTTATTTCTACAGATGCTAAAGAAAAGAAGTTTGGATACAACCCTTTGAGCCTGGCTTAACTGCTTAACATAAGTAGATGAAAATGAAACTGGTTATATCTTATTTTGTTTTTAAGCAGTGCCTTATTCAGAGCTTTAGGAATGGGATTGTCTTTTCACCTGGAAGATAACGCTATAATTTTCAGAGCTCCACAGAGAGCAACAACAATACAGGAGTCCCTAATCTCTTACTAAAACCAACTCCACTCATCAACAACGATAAGCAGAGATTTGGAGGCACCTGACACGCCAAATCCTATTCTTTTGTAATTCTTTACCTTTTACAACATTTTCAACAGTGTTATATCAGATTTTTAGAAGGATAATCAATAGGCAAGATGTACAAGTGAAATCAGTCTTCAAAGTGATCCCCTCTTGTAACTAGAAACAAAGGCTCAGGCTCCCTGCTCTACAGATATTTTGCTTAGAGCAGCAGGCAGCAGGGCATCAGCTGGAAGCCAGTTACATCTCCCTGCTCCTTGCTGTGGATCAGCAGGTGCCCTGGTGCAGGCATGAACAGTGCTGGGGCTGCTGGCATCTACTGCATCCGGCAAAAATCTCCAGACTTTGTGTGGCAGGGAACTACTGGAGCACTGCAGACAGATGGTTCAGGGATTGCTGTTTTAGAGACACCAGTGCTTCACTACAGACTACCTACATCTAAATAAGATTACCAAATATAGCAAATTATTCAGTGTCAATGTTCCTCATCTGTAGTATCCCTGCTTCACAGAGGGGTTTGGGAGCCAACATACATGAAAGACCTTGAGATGTTCAGATGCAATGATCTTAGCACCACTCCTACCTGAGCTAGAGTCCCAGCTAACAGCTCACCTGTGCCAAAAGCTGTCTCAGCTGGTCAGATCTAGTGCTGAGAGGTTTTTTGTATCTCCAGAATGTTGTATCACAGCTAGATGCTCACCCTGGAGCATCTGGCACAATATTAATATCAATGTGAATTAACACAAGTCCCATTAAAACAAGCAGTATCAGAACTTGTTGCATTTGTAATTTTACATTATGCACTGTTTTTAAAGACATGCCATTACAAATAAAGTAGAGAGCTCATATGTATAGCAAAAAGCTAATTCGATATCAAGCAATTGCTAGTATGTTTTCTCAAGATGCCCTCAGATACTTGTTACTATCCAGAGAAAAAAAGACTTGGTGATTAATTTTGGCAACTGCAGAGCTTAACCAAGGTAATTAGGAGAAACTGCACAGCATAATTATGCAGTCTATGTCAAAGCCATATAACACACAGTCATTACACATGGATGGCAATGAAATAACATACCTTTCCCATCAGATCAGCAATTCTAGGTACTGGTTTTCCTTTCTGATGGCGCATGGTAGTAGGACTCTGTCCATTCCAGTCTTCAAGTTCCTCAATACTTTTCAGGTAAAGGAGGGCTCTCAGTCCAGTACAGTAGTCATCAATAACAGTGAAATCTTGATTCTGGATTGCACTGCACACCTATAAAATGAAGTTCAGTTGTCAGGAACATTTTGGCAGAGGAGCACGTGAAGTTAGTAAGCTCTTCAGGCTCACTGATCTCCAGCTGACCTTCCCTGTAAATTTACTAGGAAAGAACTACAAGAATTCAAGATGCTAATTGGCTGCTTGATCCTACGTCACGTCAGCCCTCAGTGCAGTTCAGAAAAATACGGACTGAGTAACAGCAGTTACACCTAGGCTTCTGCATTGTGAAGTCCATACAGAAGCAGACCTGCAGGCTGAGCCTCAGGCATGATGACGCTGTGTGCCTTCCTGGGCCCAGGTGCCAAGCAGAACAAGTTTGCTGGTGGCAAACTGCCAGCCATGCTCTTGTCATGTCTGCTCTGTTAGGGAAGCACTGGTTTATCCAGCTGGGCCCCGGTCAAGCAAATCACAGAATGGTTGAGCTTGGAAGTGATCTGGAGATCAGCTAGTCCAACTCCCCTGCTCAAGCAGGGTCATCCAAAGCACATTGCCCAGGACTCTGCTCAGATGGCTTTGAAGTATCTCGAAGCCACAAATTGTCTCAGTAACCTGTTTGAGGGTTTACCATTACACAAAAAAAGCTCTTTTCTTATATTCGTAGTGATATCCTGAAGTGATTTCAATTTGTCCCGTCGCTGGACACCGCCGAGCCGGGGTGAGCGCTGTTGCGCACAGAGCAGCAGTGACCCTCTCCTGGCGATTGCTGCTTGCTGCTCAGCGCCAGCCCTGGGCTGCGCTGCGAGCACAGAGCGCAGCCCGGCTTCAGCAACGCACGGAGCAGCGAGCCCGGCTCTGCAGAGCTCACCGTGCAGGAACAGAGCTACGCACGGCAGACACTGTCCTGGCCACTAATCCCGGTTTGGCCAGGCAGCTTGTGGACCGCAGGCCAAACTTAAACCCCAGTATGGCCCCGAACAACTGACAACATGTGAATAAACAATCACACTCTTCTCTGAACCCCTTCTCGCTAGACAACCCCTAATCATCCACCACTACCTGGGTGGAGGGTTGGTTGATTACCATTAATTGTCCCTGGAAATGCTCTGAAACTCCAGATTTGCCAGTGCTTTCAGCTTCTGATACAGCTTTTATTCCAAAAACTAAAAACAGTCATGCTCTTATGATACATTTTCACACACACGTTACGAACACAGGAATGAAAGGGCTATTTCAGAACAAAATATGTGCATGTGCACAAACACATGCAAACTCCCTGGACATCAAAACACACCTCATAAATCATAACTGATATCAGCATGTAAAATTAATTGTTTTGCACATTTCAGAAATGATAACACAAACCTCAGGTTTAAAGAAAGATACCCTTTACTTTGTAAAATACCATACACTACACCTATACAAAGGAAAACCAAGGACTAACTATAAAATACATATAAGAACATTTTCTATGCAGTACATTTGCATAACAAAATCTGTTTCTCTGGAGAAGCAGTGTGAGCATTAATTAGATCTGTTACACTTTCCACAGACCTCAAGACTTTTTTTTTTTTTTTTTCTCCAAAAGCATTAGAGACCTTCATAATAATTTCCTTTACAGGTAATTTAATTACAAATTTCAACTGATGCTTATTTAAACCTCTTTGTTCATAAAAGCATTCTATATTTTTTTTTAGTGCATAGGTAACACATTAACTACTCTTAAAACATATATATAAAGCCTGTAAAAAATACAGTTAAAAGCAACGTCATCTCACTTGAAACAAGTTCAGGTGCCGTTGTCAAAATCATGGAATATTTTGACAGGATGTATATACATGAGATACATTGGAGGATACCTGTAATAACCTTATAAATAAAGAGGCTTTTACTGTTTTCATCTTATGGCGCAGTGTTATGAACCGCAATAATACAAAACTGTGCAGAAGATGGTATCACACTAAGACACCCAGGGATCAAATCCCAGCTCTGTGTTTCACTCCTTGGCTTCCCTGGGAATCCAGGTAACTCCAGAACTAAAGGCAAAATGCAATTTTTTAACAATGTAAATCACTGCACTAAAGAAAAACACTAAGAAAGACAAAAAATTTAAAACGGAATTAGCAAGTGTTTTAAGATGATTCTTCTCTTCTGTAGGAGCCACATGACTATGGTGCCCAGTGTTGCAGTAATTACCCACAAGCACAACTTCCACTGTGCAAAAACCAGGCCCGGTTTCATTTTCATGGATCTTTCTTAGAGCATGAGAGAATCAAGCATTAATATGTAGAAAGCCACAGAAACAGTTCTGCCATGTTTCCAGCAGATTTGAAGGCATACAGAACTGAGAAACACCATGTTCGGGACGTGTCGGATGGCCATATTTGGATTGTAGCTTTACAGGATCTTCCACGAGTCAGTGCAACAAGCTTTGCTGCCCTTTAGATGGGGCTGAACAAAGTGAAGGCAGAAGGTCCTTGTGTCCCATGAGCAGTGCCAATCCCTACACCACAGAGCCTGCTCTGTGTTTTTAACAACCCTGATGTCTTTAACATCCCACCTGGCTGCCTCTACATCACCAGTTCGAAGGGTATCACACTCTCTTTGCAGCCCCAGAACAGGGGCAGGGCAGCAGAGCAAGTGAGAGCCAAACTAAGGAGCACAGGCAACTGAACCAACGTGTCCCAGCGTCACCACTGCCCTCCCTGCCAGCCGCCCTGGGAACAGACCTGCTTCCCACCCTTATAAAGCTGCGTGTTCGATACTGCCTTCTCCTGGTATCTTATTTCACTGGCAGGAAAGGAAGAACAGTCCAGTTGTGGATTTAAAATTAAAAATTTAAGATTTAAAAAGATTTAAAATGGAACAACCATTGATTGCTACTTCTTAGCATTTAATGTCTTATTAAAGCACCTCAGCAGAAGATAAATGCAAGCAGCTGTTGTCACTGTCCTGGGCACCCCATGGAGAAGCAGCACGAATCACCACTGCCTTCCTGGGCATCAAGCTTTTAATGGTCAAACACTGAAATCTGCTTCCCTTCTGACACCAAAACCAAAGCCTAAGCCTGAGTACAATTCATAACAGTTGCCCTGGACCACAGCAGGAGTCTGTGGCCATCAGAAGCTGCTTATGAAAGAGCATCAGAGCAAGAGCAGAGCAGCGCCTGCCTGATGGATCGGTGCTTCTGGCCAGCAGCGGTGCTGGGGTGTCACATGCCAGCGACAGCGCCTGTTTAATATCCCCTGCGCTGACATAGTCTAGGTGAATCAATTACAGCAGTGAATTAGCATTCAGCAGCGCGCTGACCCAAGCTTTCACCTGCAACATTTAAGCAGAATGTAGCGTTTTCTTCACTGGAAGATGAAAAACAGGCGCTGTGAGCAATCTATGGGACACACAGTGAGGTCAAGATGAGAATGAAGTTGTCAATTGCCAACCACGTTTGAATTTGCCTCTAGTTTTGAACTAGAATTTGGGCTAGAAGAGAATGACTTTTTCTCCTGTTTACAAAGCTAACATTATTCACATTTTGCTTCTATACAGGGAGAGCATATTGCACAAGCTTGACTTTACTGCATTGCCAGACTATGCTACTGCCTTGGCAGTGTAACTGGGCCAATTCCTTTTTAACACCCAACCTCCCCCTTTTCCAGCAGATCCAGATTCCTTGCTCCATTGCTGCAATTGCCCCTCACATCCTACAAGAGACAAGCAGGCCAGCATGTTATACACAATCAACATTACACTCTTAATACTCTGAGATATAAAACTGCTCCTCATAAGTTACAATCTTAATGTTTACGGACGTGTCTGAGGTCCTAAAAGACACAGTGCCTGCTTTGCTGCCGGTAAATCAAACATACACCGTATAAGCTCACTAGAGTCTGGGGACGTGAAATGAATCACAGGCTTAAGCTCTAAGCAAAACTGCTCTGCACAATGGAGCAACAGGAGGAGCACTACTCAAAGATCTTCACTGCTGCCTTGCATAAGAAATGACCTATCTACTCTGTTGCTAAATAAACATAAAGACTGTCACGCTTTGCCAAAGGATCTAGAGCCATTGCAAATGGAAGAACTGAAGTAAATTGTCAGCACATTATTATTGTATAAAAAGGAATTTTTACAGGTTACATAAATGTTTTTGATCATTCACATCCACTTGAAACTTTTTAATTTACATATTATGAAAACTTATGAGTGACACGTATTGCCAATGTGTTATAAAATACTGCAAACGCCTTTGCTTTCTTTTAGCTGAATCATCACGCAGCAATCGTGCCAACTTCTGAAGCCTTCCCTGAGACAAATCTTGCACAGCAGCCACAGAGCTCTGCCCGTGGGAGAACCCTGCCCACCCGCAGGGCTGCCAGGCGCAGCGGGAGACGCCGGCCCCTCGCGTTGCTTTTGGTTTGCTCGCCGAGGAGCCGGCTGCGGAGCCGGCCCCAGCCCCGGCGTCTCATGACCTGTGCTGTGCACAGACAACCCTGAGGCTGGAAAAGTCTGAGGCTCTTCCAATTAACTGGATCACTCACTGAGCAATTCCAGTTCAATGCTGTCCCTGCATCTTCCCTTTGGAATATTTGCAGGATTCTGTAGAAGAGAGTATACTGAAATGCTGGAAAGCTGAAAACATGCATTCTCCTTCAGTCCCTATCCCCTCTCTTACTCCTGGAACTTCAGGTTTTACCTTCTTCATATGATGCTCAGAATTGTCTGGCAAAACATGGAAAAGTGGAAAAGTGATGGTAGAGGAGATGGTACCCCAAATGAACACGAGCTGCCACCTGCATCCTTCCTGTTGCCTCAGCACAAGGGACTCAAAGCAGATCAAGACATACTCCTATGGACTCTTCCCTATGCTATATCCAACAAGGAAGAGGGCCGCCTGTGACATACCTACTGCTACCGCTACCGGTGCTAACAGCTGGAGCAGGTCACAGAGTCTGGCCTGCTCTGTTTTGTAACATGCTGCTTTCCAACTCTTCTCGGGGTAATTAGATCTAGGAGGATGTGGCTGCAGCAGTGCCTGGCAGCAGTTGCACGCCTGTCCT